TTTTTCCTTCTCCTTTCCTTTCTCTCTCCCTTGGAACCCAACAGAATTCTTTGATGAGAGAAGCCTCCATGGAACCCACATCGGAACTTAGGCCTGGGTTCGGTGGAACCCCCAGTGCTAGGTTCCTTGGAACCCCCAGCGCTGGGGCACTTGGGTTCGATGGAACTTGCGCCTGGGTTTCAGGGAACCCAAGCGCTAGGTTCGATGGAACCCCCAGCGCTGGGTTCCAACGAACCCAGGCGCGGGTTCGATGTAACCCAGTGATAAAAAATTTCCTTTTTTTCTTTTTGTTATCTGCGGGTTTTGTTTTTTTTGTTGGTTTTCTGTGCGTTTTGTTGTTTGATGATAATGAAGAACTCATAATGTAGAAATTGATTGAGATGAATAAATTGGTTGAGATGTTAGAGATTTGCAGAAGTTGAAGAAGGGAAGAGGAAAGTGAATAGTCGAACGGTTTCCTGGTATTCATCTGTCTTTTCTTTTCCTTTTTTCAAACCTTTAGTCAGCAATGGGGCCCACAAATAAAATTGGTAGCAGATAAACTTCCCGCTCATGGGGTCCAAGTTGGCATGCCAAGTTGTCAAAAAAGTCTGAGGTGGTGTTGATATGTGCATACTTGACGGAGACCAACGGTGCACATGCTACATGTGATGCTTCGGCGCTAAATTTTGCTTCATTTCCTCAAACTCGAAAATATGAAAAGTAAAAATTTATGTATTGTAATATAAAGGGTAAAAACCCTCAAATTCAAAAAGTTAAGAGGTAAACGAGTACCTTTTGCCGTTTTGGATCCACACATGCATGTTCACAGCACACCCATCCAACGGATCCAAATAATGTTCCTTTGACCTACACTATGCTGTGCGGCCCGATGGGTCTTGTGCCTCAATGAAAGGATCGGAGGTCACTTGTTTTGGAATTGATTTTTTAATTTAATTATTAATCATTATTCTGGTAAAAAAAAAAAAAAAAAACAATGTTCCTTTATTTTTGTAAACATGTACGAGTCGAGTAATTATACTTCTCTTTGTTTACCCAAAAACCAAAAAAATCATGTACGCGTCGTTCACAACCTCTCAAGTCTCGTATTCTCCCATCTGTCTGGTTCACAC